CACAAACACAGGTGGAGCATAATCATTACTTCTGAGAGACGAATGCCCTTGAAAATGTTTTTATAGCTTTACAGGCTTGTAGCTGTATCAGTGGAGTTGTTCTGCTCTGCTGCTATGACACGCTCACGTTTGATCTTCTAATGGGCTGGAAACTGTATTTCAAAGGAGACTACATTAACATAAACATGAGTGAGTTACAGAGGAAATTCCAGTTCTTCTAACTGTGATGAAAGAAACATGTATGTATAACCACAAGGTGACAGCGAGATTCAACAACTTCAACATATTAGTTTAGATTTCCACGAGCTGTATTAAACACAACTGACAGATTTACTCACCTGCAGAGGACAGAAGCTGCTCACATTAACAGTGTAAGAAGCCTGCTCAGTCTCTGTCTGTGAAGCCTTGACTTTCCCTACGTTACCCCTAAAGAAACAACGTCCGACCTCCAGGCCGACCTCCACACCAGGCAGAAGGGCAGTTGAGACGTTTAGGAATAGCTCTCCGTGGGTAGGAAATTGCAGCTTCTTTATTGGCTCAATTGAGTGCAGTACAGATGCCCGGAGACTAAGCTGAGGCTCACAAGTTAGAGACAGGTTTAGACTGCCTTTCTGTGCTCCTTCAGCCTGCAGGACAGTGCTGAGATCTGTGGAACAGCCGGACCGAGTGATGGAGACGTTGAATGAGGTCTGTGGAGGCAGGAGAGCCTACAGAGGAGGGAATAAAAGATTACATTTATAAAAATCCTTCAGTTCAAATATTTAATCACAAAAAAATGTGAATTATACAAGGAGGTGTATGTAAAGTCCTAAAATCTCAGTCCAACAATGTAGCCTAAATATATTCAAATGGACAAAGAACTGAGAAGAGCAAATACTTTGCTGCATCAAAGTTTTGATTAGGTGGTTTAATATTTCAGCTAAAAGGCAGATATCTGCTGGATTTCATTAGCCCAGTGTTAAGTACAGCAAGGCTCTCAGAGTTTAATTGAAGGGTGGACGTCATATCTAGAGGATTAGACCACGGGTGTCAAATATAAGACGGAGGGGCCAGAATCGGCCTGGCAAATACTTCAATCCCGCCACACTGGACAGCTTTGGAAAATGTGAAGGAAGGCGGATATTCAGACTTTTAACTGTATTTTCATAAGTTTTACAGCCTTACCATTACTGATAAGGCCTTCCCAGTGACTATTCATGACACACCAAATGTAATTAGGTAATGATTACAAAATTAAATGACAGAAAAGTCTTTTTTTTAATTTACTATATTCTATAGAAATTTCAGGGTTTTTTTAAATGGATACACAGATATACTGCTCTATGATTGTAGCCATGGATACACTTTTTCTCTAATTTTACATTTTATTTTTCAGTTGATGGTAGCATTAGAGGAAAGGTTAAATTGATCAAAGTGGATCAAAATAGATCCCAAGAGGACTATAAATATCTGCAACATATTTTATGGGGATAGATTTAACTTTCACAGATAAAGCTTTATGTTGCCCTGTGAGTGACCAGTCCTTAGAAAGTTACCATTCATTGAAGCCACTGAGCTTTTTTCATTCATTGTTGGTGTTTTCAATGCAGCTCACACTGCAGTGGAAAACAAAGAGTCATCTCCAAAGTGAA